TGAGAATTGATTTACTGTAAAAAAATTTAATCATTCCCAAACATGGCCTAAAACATTCTAGACAAGTAATTCTCGTCCATACAAATGTTATCAATTTCTAGTACGTCTCTATAATGTCTTCGAGCCCATTTGATTGGGTTTTAAAAAGTGAAAAGGTATTTTCAAGGTTGTTTGGCCACATTTGAGAGAGATTATAAATTTTGGAACAGTGATTGAAGAGAAAATGTGTGATTGAAAAATAATGAAAAATTTTAAATTTGTGTATAATATTATTTTATTTGAAAAATGTGTTATTAAAATTAAGAAAAAGAAAAATTTTAAAAAAAACTAATAAAGGCTAAAAAGTTACTTTTGAACATGTTTGGATAATTTTCTAAAAGTATTTAGAGAAAATTTTCCTAATATAGCTTACCCATGAAATTTTTCTAGAAGAAGCAAAAGCAAAATACAAAAATCTTGTCAAACAAATCTTTAGCCCCCGTTTGGTGCACATTTTTGGAAAAAGAATGTATTTTTACTGTTGATGTGATGAGAAATATGCAGTTGAAAAAGAAGGAAAATGCATTAACGTGATGAAAAATATTATTTTATTAAAAAATGCATGGTTAAAATGAGTAGAAAAATGAGAATGAAAAAATAATGTGGCTCAAACAAGACCTTCATATATTTTACGCAAGTAATAGTAAAATAATTTGTTTGTCATCTAGTTTTGGGCCATAAGTAGGGTTCAAAATTGATTGTCATAATAGTATACTCGAACAAACGAGGCAACTTTATATGCTTGACATCGTGTCATTTGTAGTACGGGACCATATGTGAAGTCAATTATTTTGCTTTGTCCGCATCAAGAATGGAAATGTGAAAAAATTGAACTTGATGTTTCCTTCATCCACGGTGATCAAAATCAATAATTTCTCTAGTATTTTATTATTGTTAGTTATAAGCCTATCAAGACTTCAAAGAAAACATATTAAGGGCCTGTTCGACATTATTTTTATTTTTGCTTCATATAAAAGAGTTTTTGAAGAACTTTACCTTGATTTTTGTTTGAAAACTAATTTTTAAAAGAATTTTATATTCTGAAAATGTCTTTAGAAGAAGTCACATTGGACCAACTTCTTCTAAAAATTCTTCTAATTAAAAAAATAATTTTATAAAATTAATCAAATAGATTCAAAACAAGTTTTTGAATCTCAAAAACTCATTTTAACTTCTCAAAAATCATACCAAACGAGCAATAAGTTTACTATTGAATATAAAAAAAAATTGTATATATTATATTATAAATAACTAACCACAAAACATATTCTAGAAAGTCAAGATCTAGCTCTAGTGTTAAGAGTAAAGTTTTACAAAGCAAATGATCTGAATTCGAGCTTCCTTTTGTGTAATAGAGGTGAAATCTTTTGATTGCTTTAAAATTTTGATATGTAATTTCTTTTGACAATCATGTGG